CCATATAATTCAAAGAGAAAACGAGAGAGATGATGATTCTGAGGCCACCCTATCCCAGCCATATTATTCACATATCGAGTCCCAACAGCAACAGTGTAGGGATGAGCACGAAATACTGTAAATTAAATGTTGAATGGCGGTTCATGCAGGGAAAGAACATATCAATATTCGCATATTCATTCAAAAACATGAAAATTCTTAATGGAGTACCCTCATTTTTTATTGAATTCCTAAAAACTAATATTTATAATGAATTTTAATAATTTCTTCGGATTTTTTTGAAGCTTTATTCTGACCGATTCACCCGATTCCGATCCGGATCGCCGATTCGCCGATCCGGATCGGTTTTTGAAAAGCCCGATCCGGGTCACCGATCCGGTTTTTAAACCATTGCTTGAGACCATTGGTAATATGTCTATTATTAAAGAATTTTTTCTAGGGCAAGCTTTCTATGCTTCCCCTACAACATAAAACTTATATACTTCCCCTTATCCAACTGTCCATTCTGAATGGAGGGCTAAGATTGCCCCAATCACAATGTCACATATCCATACTATTTTATTTTTATTTTTTTTCTACGAACTATTTTGACACCAAATTTTGTATGTCTAATCCTCTATTAAACTCACACGAGCGAAAAATATAAAAAAACTATTTCCAATAAAATAAAATGACCAAAATACCCCTGAAATTTTCAAGGAGTATTTTGGTCATTATATTTTATCGAAAAATTATTTTTACTATTTTTTATAGGTTCGCCCCAATGAAAAGATGGCACATACCAAATTTCTTATTCATAAATTTTGTATAAAAATAACTAAAAATAAAATACTTTGAGAAATCGGATCTAAGATCAAACGGTGAGTGACTCTCTTGATCAAAATTTGACGGCTGGATGGTAGGGGAAGCATAGATCTCCTATGTTGTAGGGGAAGTATAGAAACTTTTCCCTTCTTTCTAAGGCTAAAGAGGCTATAATCTTCATATACAACCACACCATTACCCTTAGTAGGATGCGCAAGTTTACAAAGAGGGACCAAGTGAGGCTTGGGGTTACTAGCTTTGCCACTACCTACCTAGTCTTAAGAGCAAGTATAAAAGGAGGGCCACATTGAGATTGCTTCAAAGGATTGGAGCAAGTGTAGGTGGTCTAGGGATGCCAAGGGAAAGAAAGCCCACAATATTATTTTTTCTAAATATTTTTGGTGTGGGGTAAAGCAGGCAATAACAGTATTACTATACTTGGTTAAGGTCTTGCGCTTGGTTGATGCTAAGAAGCCCTCTATGGGGTTTATCTATAATACACTTGAAGAAGCTAAGAAGAAGATTGCAAAGAATTTGGGTACCGCCCAATTTGGAAGATTATAGATGACAAGTAGGATAGGTAGCTTCATACACCATTCATGCAGCGTGGCACAACTTAAACCCCAAGTTCTTTTATGTTGACCAAGATATTGAGACAAAAGACAAAATTACAGACGGTTTTAACAGTGCCTTGAGAGATCAATTCCCGATCCAAAAATCCAAGATGAGGTATCTACTGAAGAACTCATTTTGTATAAGTGTGCTTTAAAGCCATTTGGGACAGAAATGGCACTAATACAGAGGAGCAAATTAGATTCAGGTAATATATTTTGTTTGAAAATTTTCTTTCAAGTTCCTAAAAACTAATATTGTATTTCATATTTGCTAAAACTTTTTATGATAATATTAAATACTTAAATTAATTATAAAGGTTGCACATAAATTGCAGCCCAAAGGAGGAGCCAGCATTAGACTAGAGCTCCAAACCTCTAGAAGATGTTGCCCAAAAAAGATGTTATTTGGGTCTTGGGTTCGACAACTAGCTCTTTTGAATTGGAGTTTGTTTGAGATGGTATTTATGTTCTTTTCTTATTTGGAAGTTCATTTTTCTATTATAGAAAATATAACTATATAATACATTGCTTATAGATGGGTCAATTAGTAGTAGTACTCATGCACTTTCTCTTATGGGTGCATACAAAGAGAAGAAATAGGCTTGAGCGAAGGAAGCTCAATGACTTGGTATTTGTTAGAGAGAATCAGAGGTTCAAGGAGGAGTTCAACCAGCAAAAGAGGGATCCCATCGGTTCGAAAGACAAGGAAAATGCTTCTGAGTGGTTAGTTGAAGAGCCTGGTACTGAAGAGGTCTTCGCAGGGGAAGGTTTGACCTGGGATATGGTTAATGAGGGCTTCGTCCAGCTTCTGATCTTAAAAGGGCTAATCGAGCAACAATTGTTGCTGTACTTCACAGAGGGCGAGGGATATAGAGGATAAAGAGGCAGATTCAAAAGAAATTGAGGAAGAAAAGCAATATGACGAGGGTATTATTATGATGATGACAGCCTCGATTCAAATAGAAATGCAAGTGATGACTTTTTCTTTTCTTTTTTTAGGAAAAGGTTAACTAAGGCAAGTGATGAT